ATAGTCCAGGAAAAGTTAAATACTTCTTGGAAATAAAATTAGTAATTTTTCTGTCTAATACACTCGAAACCTAACCTAATGGATAATTCGAATTCTTTATGAAAAACAAACTTTAATATCAGAATTATACTCCAGGAAAATTTGAATCCTTTTTGGAAAAAAGGGTAATTTTTTAAGAAACTCTTAACTAATAAAAATAATTTACCCAAACAAAAAATATTCATTTCTCTTAAAAAAAAAACAATTTCTAAACAAAAAATGACTGCATAAATAAATAAAATTTCGAAATAAACCTAAAGATTCTTGTTTTTTTAATAACTTACAACTACCACTACGAAATTAGAATTAAAAAGGCAAAAAGTAGGACCACTAACTACATAAGTAAAAAAATAATAAAAAAAAACGAAACGCACGCGCCAGCATGGAAATCATTGTTTTTTGTTTTAATTCATTCATTAATTATTAATTTTTTTGTATGCAAAAATGTTAATAATGATGTGTGTTTGAATATGAGTAAAATGCTTAAAAGAAAATAATAATAACACTTGGCACCTTTTGGTGTACGTCATTTCTATTGTTTTTTTCCGTTAAAAACGTTGTACATAATGTAAACAAATCGAAAAATATCAGTACCAATTAACTGTCTGTTAGTAAGTATAATATTGCAGGTTATTTTCAATATAAACATGCGTGAACATTGCAGGAATAAGAAATTGCTGTTAATCTAAATAGCAGGAATTTGTGACTGCTGGAATCACAGAGTTGTGGGTAATCAAAGTGACAGGAATATTTTAAATACTATGTAATCTTGGACATACGCAGATATCTGATATTGCAGGAATTTTAAATAGCGGTTAGGAATTTGTGATTGCAGGAATCATAGATAGCGGGTTATCAAAATTTGGAGTGAGAGTAGCCATATGTGAGTAGTAGGGATTAATAGGTTATCAAAATACCAGAAACGGGAATATGAGATCCAGATATTCTAAGTTATATGAATCTGTAACTGAAGATTGTAGGTAATCAGTAACAGGAATATCTTAGATTGCAGGAATTTAAGATAGCTGTAACAAAATTCCGGAATGCTGGTTAATCCAAGAAATAACCAAATATATTTTATGTTGCAGGAATAACACAATTATTAAAGCATATACTAAGTAATTATCTGGTGTTAAATATAACAAGACAGATTTACAGGATGATTTGAAGCTGAGATTGAGTGGATTTCTTGTGGCAGGAATTTGGAGCACAATTAATTTTACGAGGCATGATTCGATAGGGATAAATCGGGAAATGTGCGATACTTTAGGAAGTAGAAATTCGGTATTGGTAGCAGGAACATAGGAAGAGGGAGAATCTGATAAATAAAATTGCTGTTAATCTAAATAGCAGGAATTTACGATTGAAGTAAACACAGATAGCGGGTGACCAAAGTATTTGGAATATAATCCAAGGATCAGGAATATGAGTATCAGGTAGTCTAAGCCATATGAATCTGTAACTTACGATTGAGGGCAATCAAAGTAACAGGAATATCTTGGATACTGTGTAATCTTAAATAGGTGCAGGGAGCAGCTTTCTGAGATTGCAGGACATAATTCCAAAGTGGTGGTTATTCCAAGAAACAGCCAAATACAACTTTATGCAACATGAATTTGGTGTTGGAGGAATATCATAAAGTAATTTTTAGATGACAGAATTGCGAGATGACTTATAGCTGAGATTGAGTGCATTTTTCGTGGCATGAATTTGAAATGCAATGAATTCTAAAGGGTCTGATTAATTATGAAGAAATTTGAGAATGTGCTAAAATTTAGGAACTAGCCATCAGGATTAGCCAGCAGGAACCTAGGAAGGAATGAAATGTTAAGTGGAAGGAATCTGTGAATATTAACATAATATTTGGGTAGTCTAAGCTATATGAATATGTTATTGAAGATTGTGGGTAATCAAAGTGACAGGAATATCTTGGATACTGTGTATGCTTGGATAGGTGAGATTGCAGGAATTTAAGATTACTATAATAGAATTATATGACAGATTATAGTAAATTTTATGTAACATGAATCTGGGGTTGCAGGAAATTCCAGTAATTATCTGCTAAATGTTGAATTCCAGGATTGCTTAAAGCTGAGATTAAGAGAAATTCTCGTGGCAGGAATTTTAAATACAATAAATTTTACGGAGTTTTATTCATTATGAAGAAACCTGGGAATGTGTAAAAATGTAGGAACTAGGAATCCGGAATAGGTTGCAGGAATCCAGCAGGAATTAGTGAACATAAGTATGAAATTTGGGTAGTCTAAGCCATATAAATCAGTAACTGAAGATTGTGGTTAATTTTAAATAGGGGCAGCTTACAAGAATTTAAGATTACTGTGATATAATTCTGGAATGATGGTTGTGGTTAATCAAAGAAATCACCAAATTCAAAATTGTAGTGTATTGAATTTAGTGTTGCATCTGCCAGGTGTTGAATTCAACAAGACTTGAATTATGGGATGACTTGAAGCTGAGATTGAGTGGAAATTCTCATGGCAGGAATTTGAAATACACTGAATTTGACAGGGCATGATTCATTACGGAGAAATTGCGAAATTTTGAGAAGAATCCGGTATAGGTTGCAAAAATCTAGGAAGGAGGAAAATGTCAAGTGGCAGGAATATGTGAGAATATAGAATTTTAAATAATACTAATCTGGTAGTCCACAAGGCAGGAATTTATATGGACCATATGAGTGTGAAGGCGAGTAATTTAATATTGTGGAAAAAATTAAGCAGGATGTAGTCTAGGTGGCAGGAAACTAGGATTGAGGAGAATTTAAAGTGGCATATACATTTAAAATCTACAATCATATGGAATTTGAAAAATTTGAATACAGAAAATTAGAGATAAAGGTAAACATCAGTGTGATTCTTTTCAAAATTTTTGTATACTGAATTTATATTATAAAAAACAGATCATAGATAAAAAAAAATATAGAAATTTAAATAGAATTCAGCAGCGACAAGATAAAGTTGTTCCGAGGAGGAAGATTTTTATATAACTTATTAAATATTATATTTTTTTTACTGTTAAAATTTAAAATCCTGATCTAAACTGAGTTTCTGAGGTAAAAATTTTTCATTTTTTTTTAAATTGTGAATAATAAAAAAAATTAAAATCAATGAGTAAATTATTTGCTAAATGTTTTTGGAATAACGAATTCAAAGTTTGCATATTTCATATCAATATATTGTTACAAGAATAGTGACACAACTTAAAAATTTTCATGTTCGAGCTTATTGTGAAAATGTATAGCAAAATCCACATATTTTTTATGTGAAAGAACGACATATGTGAAAAAATCTAGTTGTGCTCCGACAATCAATGAGACTAAAATGGTCACTTTTCTGCTAGAGTGACATAAATCAAAATATGCCAATTTTGTTAAAAATAAACTAGGAACATTATTTTTATCAGTGGTTACAAGTCAAATTAGGATAGTATTGTTAAAAAGGTCATTAATATGGTGGGAAATATACTTTTTTGGAAGATCGTAATTCAAAAGATGGATGAAAATATATTTTTGTTTTTATTTTTCTTTAATATTATTGAAGCATACTTGTTATTATTTGAATACAAGGTGAACACTAATGTTAATTCCCAAAAAAGATTTAAAAATTTATAATTTTGAGTTGTGTCACTATTCTTGTGTACCAAAGATATAGTCTTAGACATATTTAATGATGATGTTGATGATGACGTAATGAGAAATATGAAACATTAAATAAATGCAGCCGCATGGAATTTAAAATAGCCGCAAACATAAAATTTTTTCGTTTGTATCGGCGATCTGAAAAGTGACATGAATCTAGTTGTGCCCCGACAGTCAATGAGACAAGATCGTCACTTTTCTGCAAGAGTGACATAAATCAAAATATGCCAGTTTTATTAAAAATAAACTAGGAACATTATTTTCAACAGTGGCACAAGTCAAATTAGGACAGTATTGTTGAAAAGTTCATTAATATGGTGGGAAATATACTTTTCTGGAAGATCGTCTTAACTCAAAAGATGGATGGAAATATATTTTGGTTTTTTCTTAATATTATCAAAGCAAACTTGTTTTTTTTTAATACAAGGTGAACACTAATATTAATTCCCAAAAAAAAAATTTAAATATTTTTAAAATGCAAGATCATGTCTTAGAGGAAATAATAAACTTTAAAATTGTTGTCTTCGAAAGAAAATTCATAATTTTGAGTTGTGTCACTATTCTTCTGTACCAACGATATAGTCTTAGAAATATTGTTTTTAAAGATGATGTTGATGATGACGTAATGAAAAATATGACATTAAATAAATGCAGAAGCAGTGAATTTAAAATTGACGCAAACATGAAATTTGTTCGTTTGTATCGGCGATCTAAAAAGTGACACAAATCTAATTGTGCTCCGACAGTCAATGAGACAAAATCGTCACTTTTCTGCTAGAGTGACATAAATCAAAATACGCCAGTTTTATTAAAAATAAACTAGGAACATTATCTTCAATAGTGGCACAAGTCAAATTAGGACATTATTGTTGAAAACGTCATTAATATGGTGGGAAATATACTTTTTTGGAAGACCGTCATAACTTAAAAAATTGATGTTTTTTCTTAATATTATCAAAGCAAACTTATTATTCAATACAAGGTACTAATGTTTATTCCAAAAAAAGATTTAAACATTTTTAAAATGCAAGATGGCTTATAGTAAACAAGATGCTTTAAAATTGATGATGTCCTCGATAATTTAGAGTTTTGAGTTGTGTCACTATTGAAATTTGAAGAATAATAAATATAATAAAGGTATCTATGTACAAATTCGAGCTGTAAAAGAAGCAAATAACAGTAATAAAACTATACGTATAGAAATAGAGAATAATAAAAATAACGTACACCGAGAGGAAAGTGAAATGTGAGGTCACCTATGCAATGGCGCTGCGCTGGTCTGCGGCGACGGCGGCCATCTTACCTGGCGAAACTCTTGAACGCCGCAGATTGGGGATTTATACATAAAGGGACTCGACTCGTGTTGAGTTGCTCGGCTATGAATTTATGCATCTCTTCTGCAACGAAAACAAACGAAAAACGAACATTAGACATTGTTAAAAATATCAAGTCATTGAAATGCATGTACATATTAAAAATAAACAAAATCATAAGTAAACATGAAAATTTTGTATCAAACGCACTAGATATTCCTTATGGAGTACCACAGGGTTCCTATTGTGGACCAATTTTATTTTATTTATTAATGATATTGATGAACAAAAAAATATAGAAATATGGCAAAATATCTATATTGTCTATCTGTAAGTCAGTAAATAAAATATGTTGTTTTTTAAACCAGCGTGTTTTACTTTCCATTCGCTAAGTCGTTACAGAAAAGGAATAAATATGATTAACTCCTTAAATACTTTACAGGACAAGATCAGATATTGCAAAATTGTAAGCTGGATAAACTTAAAATGATATTTTTTAGAAATATTTTTCCACTTTCTAGTTTAATTAATTTTTTACAAAATATTTTTAAAATTATTTTTTTTAATATTTTTTCAAAAATATTTTTTTTTTCATTTTTGTAAATAAATATTTTTCCACATTCTAGAAGAGCCTAAACATTAATCTTTTCTAATATCTAGATGTAATTTCAATGACAAATTGTATTAAAAAATGTACCTTTGACTTGCTGTACAGTGGTGAGTTTCTTCTCCCAATGATCATCGAAGGGTTGGGGCGCCGTACTCTCGAATTCCGACGTGTACTGCCTCATACCGCTGGCCGTCGTATAGCAACATTTGCACATGCACGAGTGATACCTTAACCTACCTTCGTCTAAATACGGATGAGCCAAAGCGTCCACAACAGTAATTCGTTTGTCCTAAAATAAAAAACCAGAAGCTGCAATTACTTTACACATCGTTTATGTGAATCGTAAACTGAAGGGGCCCAAGAACGGACCCTTGAGGTAGTTTTGTCTATGAATAAATATGAATAAACATGAATAGAATAAACTAGAATAAACTAAACTAGAATAAACTGGAATAAACTGGAATAAACTGGAATAAACTGGAATAAACTGGAATAAACTGGAATAAACTGGAATAAACTAGAATAAACTAGAATAAACTAGAATAAACTAGAATAAACTAGAATAAACTAGAATAAACTAGAATAAACTAGAATAAACTAGAATAAACTAGAATAAACTAGAATAAACTAGAATAAACTAGAATAAACTAGAATAAACTAGAATAAACTAGAATAAACTAGAATAAACTAGAATAAACTAGAATAAACTAGAATAAACTAGAATAAACTAGAATAAACTAGAATAAACTAGAATAAACTAGAATAAACTAGAATAAACTAGAATAAACTAGAATAAACTAGAATAAACTAGAATAAACTAGAATAAACTAGAATAAACTAGAATAAACTAGAATAAACTAGAATAAACTAGAATAAACTAGAATAAACTAGAATAAACTAGAATAAACTAGAATAAACTAGAATAAACTAGAATAAACTAGAATAAACTAGAATAAACTAGAATAAACTAGAATAAACTAGAATAAACTAGAATAAACTAGAATAAACTAGAATAAACTAGAATAAACTAGAATAAACTAGAATAAACTAGAATAAACTAGAATAAACTAGAATAAACTAGAATAAACTAGAATAAACTAGAATAAACTAGAATAAACTAGAATAAACTAGAATAAACTAGAATAAACTAGAATAAACTAGAATAAACTAGAATAAACTAGAATAAACTAGAATAAACTAGAATAAACTAGAATAAACTAGAATAAACTAGAATAAACTAGAATAAACTAGAATAAACTAGAATAAACTAGAATAAACTAGAATAAACTAGAATAAACTAGAATAAACTAGAATAAACTAGAATAAACTAGAATAAACTAGAATAAACTAGAATAAACTAGAATAAACTAGAATAAACTAGAATAAACTAGAATAAACTAGAATAAACTAGAATAAACTAGAATAAACTAGAATAAACTAGAATAAACTAGAATAAACTAGAATAAACTAGAATAAACTAGAATAAACTAGAATAAACTAGAATAAACTAGAATAAACTAGAATAAACTAGAATAAACTAGAATAAACTAGAATAAACTAGAATAAACTAGAATAAACTAGAATAAACTAGAATAAACTAGAATAAACTAGAATAAACTAGAATAAACTAGAATAAACTAGAATAAACTAGAATAAACTAGAATAAACTAGAATAAACTAGAATAAACTAGAATAAACTAGAATAAATTAGAATAAACGAGAATAAACTAGAATAAACGAGAATAAACTAGAATAAACTAGAATAAACTAGAATAAACTAGAATAATTGTCAATAAATTTGAAAAAAATGTGAAAAAATGGGAAAAAATTATAAAAAATGAAAAAAAAATATGTGAAAAAAAATGTGAAAAAAATGTGAATAAATATGAAAAAATGTGAAAAAAATGTGAAAAAAATGTGAAAAAAATGTGAAAGTATGTGAAAAAATGTTAAAAAATGTGAATAAATGTGAATAAATGTGAATAAATGTTAAAAAATATGATTAAATGTGAAAAAATGTGAAAAAATGTGAAAAAATGGTAAGAATGGGAAAAAATGTTAAAAAATGTGAATAATGTAAAAAAAATGAGAAAAAAATGTGAAAAAAATGGGGAAAAATGGTAAAAAAAATGGAAAAAAAATGTGAAAAAAATGTGAAAAAAATGTGAAAAAAATGTGAAAAAAATGTGAAAAAAATGTGAAAAAAATGTGAAAAAAATGTGAAAAAATGTGAAAAAAATGTAAAAAAAATGTGAAAGTATGTGAAAAAATGTGAATAAATGTGAAAAAAATGTGAATAAAAGTGAAAAAATGTGAAAAAAATGTGAAAAAAATGTGAAAAAAATGTGAAAAAAATGTGAAAAAAATGTGAAAAAAATGTGAAAAAAATGTGAAAGTATGTGAAAAAATGTGAAAAAAATGTGAAAAAATGTGAAAAAAATGTGAAAAAAATGTGAAAAAAATGTGAAAAAATGGGAAAAAATGATAAAAAATGAAAAAAAAAATGTTAAAAAATGTGAATAAAAGTGAAAAAATGTGAAAAAAATGTGAAAAAAATGTGAAAGTATGTGAAAAAATGTGAATAAATGTGAAAAAATGTTAAAAAATGTGAAAAACTGTGAAAAAATGTAAAAAAATGTGAATAAATTAATAAATAGAATATTTATCGATAAATTCACTTACCGGATCGAACACCAACATTTGACAGAGTAAATGCACCACTTCGTGAGTGGCTTGCGACGACAAAGTGTACAACGCTGATAACGATGGCGGTTTTGGCGCCCTCCTCAACATGTGCGATTTGGCGCCCTCGCAAGCGTACTTCATGTCCTCTAGAGATGGCGTGCCTAGCAGTTCCGTAATCAGTTCCAACTGCTGGACGGGGTTTTGCGCCTAAAACAAAAGAATCAATCAGTATCACAGTAATAAAAGTTAATTCGGAATTGTACTGTTGCCTTCTAAGACGAAAAATTGTTTTATACAAAATTAGAATTAACGAATAATTCTAGAAAAACAAATTTATATTTTTGTTTAGAAACCTCCTTGTTATTATCAATGATAATGTAGTGTTATAAAAACAAAAGATTAAGTTCATCTGTTGCCAAGGATCTATTCTTTTTATTTATATGTCATTATGACTTTTAATTTTTTCTGCCTTTAATGTATTTTACATATGTATCTGCAACAATTTTATTTAAGATCCCACAGTTACGAAACACGTTCTTACCTGAAAGAGTATCCTTCTGCCCAAAAGTTCGCCGAAAATACACCCCACAGACCATACGTCCACCGCGGCTGAGTAATGTTTCGCCCCCATCAGGATTTCGGGCGCCCTATAATATTGCGTCACCACTTCTTGCGTCATATGCTTATTGGTGTCGGGTTCTTCTACTCTCGCTAAGCCAAAATCACAGATCTAACAAAAAAGAAAAACAAATATTAAAATGTCTACAAAAGGTAAAGGATTTTGTGAGAGTCTGAATTTTTTGATAGAAGTAGGCTGTGAGAAAGTTGAAATTTAAATTCACCTGTTACCACTTATTACTTTATTGACGATGTTTCACATAAAAATAGAGTTTCTTACAACACAAGGACACGTTAACTTATTCACTATGTACTTTTTTTCATTTTTGTTAGAAAACTAATCACATTACCCTTTAATTTTAAAAATAAAAATGACGTTATAGCTACAAGATGGCTTGGGGTTATCAAGCAGTATGAAAAAGTCTGATCTCGATGACCACGAAAGTGCTTTTGTTGTTTGTATGCGAAAACAATATAAATACGAGCATTAGTATCCTTGTTTTTTATGGGTTAACCAATCATTTATTCGTCAAGGAAGAGAGGGTGACGTAATCACTTTACTAATTTCCGAATAAGGCGAGAATCCAGAGGGCGCGAGGTGAAATAAATTAAATTGAATATCGAGAAAAATGTTGAGGTAATTTAACAGATATTTTTTTATTTTTAAGTAAATTATCCTTGTAAAAATTGAAATCAATAATCAGACAATTATATTGCCACATACTTTCATTGCCAAGCAACTCTAAAGGTAATTCTCTCACCAGAAATCAATCCCAACTGGTGAAAGACGGTCTAGAAGACCTAAGAGCTAAGCAAACAAAACAAAATGACCTTAGCCTGGGGTTCTTGGTTTCCAGGCCATGACCGATGTCAGGGCAATGTTAAAGTCGACGGACTAGCCTGAGAAGGCTTAGATAAAGCTATGACAATTCCCGAACTTATCTGTGGTGTTGCTAAGGCATTGTGCAAGCCATCCATCAAACGATGAATGGAAAAAGAGCCTTGGGAATGATTGGCCTTAGAATTTAAATAATCTTAAGAGTTCATTGAATATCCAAAACGAAAAACCGTAGCTCTTCTTACCCGGCATTGTTGCTTAAGAAGACATGAGTGTCATAAATCCAAAAACATCAATCGACGTCCTGTTTCAATGTGAAGACCTGACTAGATAGAGGTTTTGTTGTTTACACGAGCGTCAGTATCCCCATTTTTTTATGGTGTGACCAATCATTTGTTCGTCACGGCGATTGTGTCAAGGAAGAGAGGGTGACGTAATCACTTTACTAATTTCCGAATAAGGCGAGAATCCAGATGGCGCGAGGTGAAATAATTTAAATTGAATATCGAGAAAAATGTTGAGGTAACTTAACAGATATATAAAATATTGTGACATACTTTGAATGCCAATCGGCTCTAAAGGCAATTCTCTCATCATAAATCAATCCCAACTGGTGAAAGACGGTCTAGAAGACCTAAGAGAGCTAAACAGCAAAAAAAAATGACCTAAGCCTGGGTTCTTGGGTTCCAGGCAACGGGAAAGTCGATATACTAGCCTGAGAAGGCTTAGATAAGGCTATGACAATTCCCGAACTTATCTGTGGTGTTGCTAAGGCATTGTGCAAGCCATCCATCAAACGATGAATGGAAAAAGAGCCTTGGGAATGATTGGTCTAAGGATTTAAATAATCTAGAGTTCATTAAATATCCAAAAAGACAAATCATAGGTCTTATTACCCGGCACTGTTGCCTAAGAAGACATACGTGTGTCATCAATCCAGAAATATCAATCGACGTCCTGTGCCAGTATAAAGACCTGACTAGATAGAGGTTTCTAAAACCAGGAGAAGAAAAGTCAAACTCATGTAACGCGCAGGAGCCACTGTCAAATCTCCTTAGTCTAATAAAAAAGACCAAGTTAGACGACGTACTTTAAATAACGGAGTTTCACAATAGATTTGAATAAGGACAAATCTCAAACTCCTATTAAATCTAATATAAGAGCCTATAAAGCTGTATGAGCATGGTATGAGCGAAACGAGTGAGTTTGGTGAAATGGAGGAATGTTCAAAAGAGCAGATATTACTGAAATATCAATAATGCGTATTTAATTTATTTTTTACTTTAAAGTAGACTCTTTAACATCACTTTTAAATTAGTTTATAATAATAAATGAAAATTGACTTACCTTTAGAACACAATTACTATTTACCAGAAGATTTCCGGGTTTGATATCCCTATGTAGTATCCTAGCTGAATGTAAATATTTTAAACCTGAAAATTAAAAATAGAAAATAAGTACATATTTTATGTATACAGCGTGTACAAAAAGTAACGTTATTTCGATTTCTGATAGATTTACAAAAAAAAAAGTTTAATGAAATTTATCGGGTACACCATTACTTCAAAATAACGTAAGGAATATTCTTTAAAATATAACACCCTGTATATATTTTGTTTTTTTGTACTATATTATTCGAATAATTAAAAAAATATATATTTTTGCGTTATTTTAGCCAGGTATATTTTTAATTGATTTATAACTGATAACTTGATTTATTTAATAAAACTTTTTTTTGTAAAGTTATCAGAAATAAAAAATATCAGCAAGTCAAGTGAATTTTTGCATATACTGAATATAGAATGTGATTGATTAGTGTGAAGAAATACAATATATCTGCACTCTTACGAACAGACAAAAAATATATATAATAGTAGATAACTTTAAAGTTCCTAGTTTTTTCAAATATATGAGGTATTGCAACTTCAAATTAAATCATAATTACATTTTTTTTTTTAATTTACAACCGTGTATTTTATATTTCAATATAAAAGTACTCCTAATTATACTTTAATTTTAGTTAAACATTCTAAAAATTACTTTTTTATTGTTGATTTTTTGATTTTAAAGGTAAATCACAATAAAGAAAGCAAAATCGTTTTTTATTTTTATTAAAAATATCTAAAATCGTGACCATTATTGGAGTTTTCTCACATTAATCAACATATTTAATTGTAATGTAATGTATTGAAGTACATGATACATAATTAATTTAAAATAAAAAAAAAACTATTTATGAACAAATGAAAATCGATAATTCTTGGTATTTCAATATTGTATTTTTGTTTTTCACTTCCAGGTAAAAGACTTACGTGCGAGTATGTTTGCATTAGTAATTCTATATTACAAAGCCTTTGTTATCCAGTTACGTTTATTGGATCATACCCATTATACGAGGGTTGCGTAGAAAGTTTTAAAGAAAATTTATTCGATCTTTTATATATCATTTTATTTGTGCATTCAAACTTATAAAACATTTCAAGAATTTATCTTAACTTTTTGACATTTCGTTTTTACTATTACATACTGTCTATATTGTTGGATTTGTCAGTATAATTTAGCAGTTTTTCGGTAGAATGGAAGATATGCATGTTCTTATACCGATAAAAAGGGAAATAATATATAAAATCTAAGGGAAATTATTTATTTACTTAAAAAAATCGAAAAATTTGCAAGACAATGAAATTGCTCAATTATTTATTAAAAATTTATTTGTTTAATATCTACCTATTTAAAACATTTAAGATGCCCTCAAAATGTCTTTAAATTTATTTATATTATATGACAACATTTAAAGTTGAAACAACTTTAGAATCAATTAAAACAAAAAATAACAATAAATTTTTCCTGAAAACACGAAAAAACAAATTCAAAATGCATGTGGAAGTAGTTATGATTTTCCACCTTTTGTCTTAATGTAAAATATACAGTGTATCTCGAAAAGTTTGCACAATATGAAAAAACTTTTTTATTATCGATTTTTGAGAAAAACATTATTCTTGATAAAAGTTGATGCTTCACTTTAAACATCTAGGAATAAATTAAAAAAAAAAAAATAGTTTGCATAGATTATTCTAAGCCTATTTAATGGATTTTAGTTAAAATAATAAATTTAACATAGTACAATTTGCTATTTTTTTTACATAAACTTTTAAAAGGTACACCATAATTACGTGTTATCTTTATGAAAGGTTAGTATTTCACTCTGTAAGCATATTTTTATACTTTTCATAAATATTAAACGTGGTTCTGGTTAAATAATGACATCCAAACATATTGGCCACATTATAAATTTTAAAACAAAATTACTACTCGGCTTGAAGTGTCATTTTACATTCATTTAATATTGTAATCATTTTAAAAGGAAGTTATGAAAATCGTGATGACTGAAAAATACCTGTCACTTTTCCATTTTGTCAGAAAAATAACGGCACATAATTATTTCAAACCTAGAATAATAATTAATAAATAAAAAGTTTGTTGAACTCACCTCTAAGAATCTGGTACAGGAAAACTTTTATATGGTCCGATGACAGGGGTTGATGTGAAACTATAATTTTATGTAGATCGCTTTGCAGCAACTCCGTAATTACATATCTGAAATTATCATGTTAAGGAAAACGACAGGAATTTAATAATCAAGTGCCGCGTTAATTCCGCAGCACAGTAACAGGCAATTTTATGTATTTAATAGATTTGTAACAGCACACAAATTGTGTGATTATCAATCAATTTTTGTATATATTTAATTAAAGTGTTATAATGAAATTAAAAGGATGGGGTATCAATCAGATTTTTCAAAAAACCATATCAAATGGTGCAGATATTAATGTAATGTATTAATGTATCTATTGATATCTATTGATATCTATTGATATCTATTGATATCTATTGATATCTATTGATATCTATTGATATCTATTGATATCTATTGATATCTATTGATATCTATTGATATCTATTGATATCTATTGATATCTATTGATATCTATTGATATCTATCTATTGATATCTATTGATATCTATTGATATCTATTGATATCTATTGATATCTATTGATATCTATTGATATCTATTGATATCTATTGATATCTATTGATATCTATTGATATCTATTGATATCTATTGATATCTATTGATATCTATTGATATCTATTGATATCTATTGATATCTATTGATATCTATTGATATCTATTGATATCTATTGATATCTATTGATATCTATTGATATCTATTGATATCTATTGATATCTATTGATATCTATTGATATCTATTGATATCTATTGATATCTATTGATATCTATTAATATTTATTGATATCTATTAATTAATATCTATTAATATCTATTAATATCTATTAATATATATTATTCAAGATTTTTCGGCGGTTATAATTAAATTGTGCTCAATTGTAATATGTTTATTAACATTGATAGGTGTAGATTTATTTGAATGTATTTATAGCCCTAATAGATCCTGTAAATTTAAACCTTTAACATTAAAAAGGTTCTTTACAGTTCATGGATTCGCAGTTTTAAATTGATACTAGTTTGGAATTGCCAAACTAACTGGATAATAATAGTTTAGATAAAACTGAAATGTGTCAATTATTTAATTAAAAGCAATAAAGATGGACGAGCACGTTTCCTTTCACCCTCGAGATTTCCCTCCCTCTTTGAACGTTGAAAAATTCGGTGCATAATTCCCGACGGCGAGACAAAAACGAACAGAATTCTAATGCGGTGACGACGCGAGAGTGACGAGCGACGAGATGAGACGAAATGAGTTGAGATTACTGGCTCTATAGTATTGATAACGGTTAGCGTGTGGGAAAAATGTCATTATTGCAAGTTTGATTCATTTCGCGACGCGTTTATCGAACGGACGCTGCACGTGTGTCGACTCGGCAGCTGCCGCTTCATTTGGAAATCAAATTTTCTTAATGTGTCGCTGCATTGTCTAGCGCCCTTCATGTTTTCACCAACTATTTATTGGATTGTTAGTATGCCGTTAAGTTTTCTTTGCTATAAATTGGTAGTTATCGAGGAAAGTAATATCTACGATACATGAATTTTATTTTAAAAAAGAACTTTTATAAAAGAAGAGACCGATTTGTCCGACATAAAACAAACAAAACTTTGACAAACTCTTAAATAATAAAGAATAGGTGCCTAATATTAGGGTACTGCTTATTATTGGATACCTATTTTAAAAATGTGCTTCCATCTATTAACCAGGAGCTGCGTTACATCTTAAAACCCCTCCAATAAGTTTGCAGGGTTCTATAATAGACTATGTTGACATAAAAGACATTAAAAGGAAATGTATATGTCTGAAAATTATTTGCTTCCTACATTAAGTGCTGAATTGTCAATTAAAAGGTAAACATTTTAAATATTTACAAATGGGATGTTATAAAGTAAATTTTACTAGAGTTTTTATTAATAAAATCTTATATTTTTTTGTCTAAAATAATTATAACCTAAAAATTTTATGATGTGCCTAATATTGGATAGCTACAGGTTCCCAATATTGGATATCCAATTTAGGCAATGTTTTGAGGTCAACTGCAATAATATATTGTTTACAGAAATTGCTACTAAGAAAAAAAAGCAATGGGATAAAACAAATATGACTAGTGCTATTCAAACAGTAATAAATAAAGAGATGGGATATTTGAAAGCTGCCAAGTCGTACAATGTTCCGAAATCTACCTTGGAGTATTACTGTAAATTTGAAAATCCCCTAAAACATTTAGAAAAATCGACTCTTGGTCGTAAGCCAGTGCTACCTGAAGTATTGGAAAAAGAGTTGGCAATACATTGTCTGGAATTAGAGAAAAGGTTCTATGGTTTAACATCGTTCGACGTTCGTCGTTTGGCTTCTTTGGCTCTAGCTAATAATTTGCCACATCCATTTTCAAAAACAAAAGCTACCGCTGGAAAAAATTGGCTATGGAATTTTTTGTGACGAAACAAAAACTCCTCAGGGTGGATCCGCAACTAGAATCAATCGATTTACTGAAGAAAATCTGATTAAATTCTATGATATTTTGGAACCAGCTAACATACATCCATTGCCTGTATTACCTGGTTCTTAAGTAGTAAAACGGAAAACTCTGGTGCCGCCTACCTACAAAACAGCCCTTGAGGAATCACAAAGTCCAAAAACAACGGAAAAGTTTAAGAAGAATTTAAACTTTCAATCAAAATCATCTGAAAAAATTAAGAAAAATTACACTTCTCCAAAGATTCCTTAGAATCAGAAGAGGAAGTCAATTATGAGGGTTTGGAAGATGATATGGATCCAGAAGAAGATGTGGATTGGAATGACTTTCTTCAGATAAAGCAGGAGAAAAATGGGTAAAGTCTTGCAAATGTTACAGATGGTTCCATGAATCATGTGCTGGTGTCGAGGGCAAAAAAAATTACATCTGTAACTTTGGTATGGATGGATGATTTGCCCTTTTTAAGCTGTAAAGTGGAATTTTTTATTTGTTTTGTATTTTCCTCAATAAAGTTTTGAAATTATCAATAGTTTTTGATTAAAAAAAATGGTTTTCTAATATTGGATACTCTATCCAATATTAGGTTACTATTTTCTAAATTGACAAAATCAGCAATTTTTCAAAAATATTTAATTACTTCCTGAAATAATTTTCTATTCTTTTGCCGACCATCTTAACTGATAATGGGGTCTATTCTGTAACAATTCCTTTATATTTAACGGCCTTTAAAAATATTTTATTGTTTACTTCTGTCATTATTTAAACGGATCTTTAAAATACATTAGAGGACTATCTTAAAGAAATTGTTTAAATAATGACAGAAGTAAATTAACGAATACGAACATATGTTTAAAGGCCGACAATATTTTTAAAGGCCGTTAAATATAAAGGAACTTTTACAGAATAGACCCCAATATGTAGTTATGCTATAACTCCATTAACCTAGCGCAAATGTAGGAATGTTTTTTTGATATAATTTAACAGTTTAAAAAAAGTATCCAATATTAGGCGATTATCCTCTACATCAGTGTTTTTCAACCTTTTTCATGATGCGACCCCCCTGGTAAAATATTTCGCGACCCCCCGATCCTTCGCTTTTTTATCATGTATGTATGTATGTGTATGTTACACTGTTACAAATATTCATTCCATACGACGTTTTTATGCGTCTCCATAATTAGGATTCGTATATAAGTACATAATATACCACATTTTGTATGTGCGTTTTGAATCCAGTGAAAAATTAATGGAAGAAATACTATTTTGCAGAGCGCTTCCCACAAATACTACAGGTCAGTGCTTGCGTAACATGTTTCTTGAAGCTACGCAAGATATGAATATCGATTGGGCAAATAAATGCCTATTTGCAGCGACGGAGCAAAAGCGATGACTGGTGCGAAGAGTGGATTTATGGCTAGGCTGAAACAACTGATGCCAAACGCTTGTTATTACTTTCTCCATCGCTAAGCTCTTGCGGCCAAAACCTTCCCACCGGAATACAGCCAAGTTCTAAATATTATTATAAAGATTGTAAATTCTATTAAATTAAAAAAGTTGCAGACACGATTGTTTCGGATTATTTGTGAAGATATGGGGGCACTCCACCAACATTTACTTTACCATCCAGAGGTTAGGTGGTTGTCAAAAGGCAAAGTACTGACCAGAGTTATGGAAATTCGTGCTGAACTTTAATATATTTACAGCAGGCAGAGTCAAAATACTCTGAATTCATTTGCGACCCGGAATTTTTTTTCTGAGTTATTTGAGCATTTAAATATCTTGAATAAAAGTCTTCAAGGGATAGATGAAAATGTCATTACTGCAAAAGACAAAATACATGGCTTTACAAAAAATATTGACTTGTGGTCGTCGTCTATAAATCAAAATAACTTCGATTGATTTTCGTCGACACAATCTTTTATTGAAGCAGTCGGATGTGAGATAAACATCAAGGCATATATACCTGGTATGAAAATGGTGTTAGATAATTTGAAAGAAGAATTGTGTCTTTACTTTTCAGTGCAAGAGACATCGGAGAACACTGGGCAGAGGTGGATCTTAAATCCGTTTTTAAATGCAGCTATAAATGAGGTTAATTTGTCAACTAAGCTCAAAGAGAATATGCTAGAATTATGATGGGATGTTACACTTGGAATTCAAGTCTGTTAATTTGGATACCTTTCGGTTAAAGAGAAAAACAGAATACCCGGAATTGACAACTGAGGCTTTGAAGTGTTTTATTCCATTTGCCACCTCGTACTTATGCGAGTTGACATTTTCATCAATGGCCCAAATAAAAAGTTAGCAAAGAAATCGCTTAAATTTGGAAAACGATTTAATTCTATGTGTAGTAAATACAGATCCAAGATGGGAGAAATTGATTAATCAAAAACAAGCACAACCTTTGCATTAACACGAGTCTTAGGATTTTATTTTTTGTTAATTTGTTTGTATTAACATACAAATGTTTATCAGTATATCCTTTTGTTAAAATTCTCTTACTTCATAAAGATTAAAAATTTAATTTTTACTGAAGTTCTCTCGACCTCCGGCGACCCCCCTACAGAAGCTTCGCGACCCCCCAGGGG